AGTTTTCAGAATAATGGGTTGGTTACCTACCCTCCAAAGTGACTGATGAGGGTTTTTAAAAATATAATTATAAATTTAACAGAGAAAGCCCCTTTAAGTTAGCTCTCTTGTAGTCTTTGGCCCTAGTAATCTTTGATAACTTCCTTGTTGTCTGGTACAAGGCAATGTCTCAGACTCATCTTGCACATTTCCTGCCCCAGACCTGGTTCCTTTTAGTGAGGAATGGTATTTCAAGACCCAAATCTGGGTAATAAGGTTGGTCATTATTTCGTGGCATTTTCAGTGGATGGAGCTATGAAACATATTTTTAAAGAGAATAATACATCAAGAGTTAATGATTTTTCAATTTATTTCAAACATAGGATTATAGGGTTTTTGTTTAATTGTGTCATTGATTTTATATTTGTATCTCTTTTATCATACACTGAAATTTTTGATTCCCAATGACATTAATATAATTATTTATTTGCTATATATATATATATGAAAACAGATACACAGATTCCTGTGTTGCTTATTTTTTCCTTAGGATACACTCCACCAGGGATGTGGAGTCACATCACCATATTTAGAGGCATAAGAAATAAACTCTCTCTGTGGGGGTCAATCACCACCTTGCTTGTTTCACTTTGCTTCTTTGCTGGGATTATTTTTTCCCCCATTTTGATTTAATTTTAATTGTGTGACTGCATGTAACGATACTTACATAATTCTAAAGTTGAAACTGAAAACTGCTACATTTGGAGTGGTCTAGCTTAGCTTCCCTCTCTAGGCTCTTCACCTTATTGCCACCCTCCCCATAAAGATAAACATTTTTTTGGTTTTCAGTTTATCTATCTTCTCTATATGTCCCTCCCTCACTCCCTCCCTTCTTTCCTCCCTTTTTAAGAAAAATATAAGCACATTCGTGTGTGTGTATTTATATTCATATTACCCTGCCTTTTCTTGGATGAAATAACTGCATACCACACACACTGTTCTTCACCTTGCTTTTTTTAACTTAGCAATATATCCTGGAGGTCACTGCCAGAGTATATAGAAGAAATCTTCCTTACTCCTTTTAACAGCTCCATAAAACTCCATTGTGTGAGTGTACCATAGTTTGTTCAACTATTCCCCAGCTGATGGACACTGGGTTGTTTCTGGCCTTGCTATAATAAGATAGTGTTGCACTGAAAAGGCATGTGTATATACAATTTTGTGTTTTTGCCATAGTATTATTGGGATAGATCCCTAGAAGTAGGATTGCTGGATTAAATGCTAATTACATATATATGTCCTAGATAATGCCAAATTCTCCTCCACAGAGAAATACCATTTGGCCTTCCCACCAGAGGTACATGACAGTGCTTCTTTCCTCACAGCCTCAGTAACAGAATACATCATCATACTTGGATTTCTACCAATTTCATAGGAAAGAAAATAGTCTCAGTATGATTTAATTTGTATCTCTTTTAATGTGAGTGAAATTGCCCATATTTTCACATATATATAAAGGCCTTTGTGGGTTGTTTTGTTTTGTTTGTTTCTTTGTTTGGCTGTGCCACTCAGCTGCAGGGTGTTAGTTCCCCAACCAGGGATTGAACCCGCACCCGCAGCAGTGAAAGCAAGGAGTTCTATCCACTGGACCGCCAGGGAATTCCCATGTAAGGGCCTTTGTGTTTCTTTTACTGTGAACTGTTGGCTCATATGTCCTGACCATTTTCTATAACTTTTATGTGATACAAAATTTTCTTTTTAAAATTTTTATGTAGTTAAATTTGTCAGTGATTTTTTTTGTTCTGGATTTTGAGTCAAAGTTTTCCCCACTTCCAGGCTATAGAGGAATTTACCAGTTCCCCCACCCGAGTGCTTTTATGGTTTCATTATTATTTTATCTTTGATCCATTTGGAATATTTTGTAGTATATGGTGAAAGGACTAGATCCGATTTTTTTTTCATATAGCCATTCAGTTATCCCAACTCTACTTTTTAAGATGTTTATCTCTCCCCAATATATTTGAGATACTACCTTTATCATATGCACATTACATTTCCATTTTCAAATAGATCTATTGCTATATTATAATAGACTATTACATTTTCAAATAGATCTATTGCTGTTCTACTGGTTTGTCTAACTGATCATGTGCCAATATGATGTGTTGAGAGGTGAGGAGACATCCTTGCCTTGCCTTGTTCCTGATCTTAGTGGGAAAGCTTTTAGTTTCTCACCATTAAGTATGATGTTAACACAACATTGTAAATTAACAATACTCCAGTGAAAATGAAAAAAAAAAGTATGATGTTAGCTTTGGGTTTTGGGATAGATGTTTTCTATCAAGTTGAGGAAGTTCTCTATTTTTTACTTTGTTGAGAGTTTTTATCATGTATGGATGTTGGATTTTATCAAATGTTTTTGTATTTGTTGATATGGTTATATGGTTTTTCTTCTTTAGCCTGTTGATGTGATGGATTATATTAATTGATTTTTCAAATGTTGAACTAGCCTTGCATGACTTGGTTGTTGTGTATAATTCTTTCTATACATTGTTGGATTCAATTTGCTAATAATTTGTTGAGGACTTTGCATCTATGTTCATGAGACATACTGGTCTGTAGTTTTTTTTGTAATGTCTTTGTCTGGTTATATTATTAGGGTAATGCAGGGCTCATAGAATGAGCTAGAAAGTGTTCCCTCTGCTTCTATCTCTTGGATGAGATTATAGAGAATTAGTATAATTTCTTCCATAAATGTTTGGTAAAATTTACCTGTGAACCAAGCTGGACAATATTGCCAGTTTTTTTTTCTTATTGCCAGTTTTTTAAAAAAATAAATTTATTTATTTATTTTTGGCTGTGTTGGGTCTTCGTTGCAGTGCATGGGCTTTTTATTATGGTGGCTTCTCTCATTGTGGAGCACGGGCTGTAGGCACATGGGCTTCAGTAGTTGTGGCACATGGGCTTAGCTGCTCCGCAGCATGTGGGATCTTCCCGGACCAGGGATCAAACCTGTATCCCCTGCATTAGCAGGTGGATTCTCAACCACTGTGCCACCAGGGAAGCCCTATTGGTCTTTTTCTAAAAGCAGATTATTAGTAGGGTGGCAGAACAAGAAACAAGAGAGCAAAGGATGGAAGGCAAATTTACTGTTTCACAGGTGGCTGGGCTCTCTCTGGTATTAAGGAGGGGAATTTGTATGCAATTTAACTGCAAAAAAAACCCAAAACAAACAAACCACAAAACCTATTTCTGGCACATAGGTAATGGGTATTTTCACCAATTGGATGCGAATATAACTGCTGAGATGTCCTTGTCTACATATAATAGTCACCAGTAAAGTAATCTTTGGAAAAAATTATAGTATATTAACCTTTTAAATTAATGTTCCTCTCTTCTTTTTAAAAGGAATAATTATAAGACATGAACTTTAATGTCTGGAATATCAAAGAGATGCTCAGTATTCCCTCAGGCTCTGGGTAAGTTTTCTGGTTATATACTCTGATACTTAAGAAGATCTTATAGTTGCACTGATTTCATAGAAACAGGTTCCCCTTCCTATTAGTTTATAGTAATAGGGTTACCCGATATAGCTTCTTCCCTTTCTCTTCCCTCTCTTGTCACCACTGCACCCTCCCATATTTGTCTTTTTCCTTGTGCCTATTTTCTGATTATAAAAGCAGTATCAATGGCTATGTGTGTTAATTGAGTAATGACTCTGTCCAGCACTGGACCTAGGGACTATGAGAGTTAGACATGGTCCAACATCTGGAAACTCTCACCTCATTTGGAGCAATTGCTATTGAAACAGCAAGGATCAAACTCAAGACAATGTTCAGATAAGTGTTCAGTTGTGTAGTACAATTTGTAGGCACTATGAAATCAAGAACCACTCCAACTGTTGACAGGGCTCATTGAGATACTGCCCCCTCTACTACTCCACTGAGGTACTTAGATTGGTGTCCACTAGCCATGCAGTAGGCCTGCCATTGCTAACTTGGTGGGCGTACCCCAGAAGTAGTATATATTAAGGGATTTCCAATTGTTGTGGTATGCTTTTATCATTGGATAGTTTCTTTTCTTCCTAACACCTTCCTAAAGACAGCAAAAAACCTAAAACATTGTTGTTGTTGTTGTTTTTCTTAAAAAGAAAAAAAGAGCTTACAATTGATACAGAGTAGGGGAAAAAAAATCTATGCTTAATTCCAGATCGTAGCTTTAAGATGTGAATCCTACAGGACTTCTGTAGGCTTACAGAGCTGTTTCTTTTCCAGCCCAGCTATTTATTCTCTTTGACCTAAGAGGGGAGACACAGAGAGCTATTTAGCTATTTTGAGCAGTGATTATGCAAATCATATTATATGTGTGCAGCCTGTTACCTTAGCTAATCTTAGAAAATGATTCTATGAGTCAAAATAATTTCTCTGTTCTGAGCAAGTAGGGTTTCTTTTTGTCTTGTATTAATAAATAATGATTCGTTTAGCTTAGAATATGTACTTATAGGCTATCTATTTTAAATCTAACATTTGGAAAAGGAATGATCTGCATGTGTGTGTTTTAATGAAAAGCATGTTTTCTTGGGTTACACAACAGCATTAAGTAACACAAATTGTTACTGAGGTGTCTTTCAAGTAAAACTTGAAGACTATATATTTTACTTGTCTGTCCACTTATGTGCTGTCTCTGTAGTAGGCTTAGCACACTGTGTTCAAGTGTGATTGTATCATTATCAATATCATTATCCCCTTCATATGTGAGATTTAGACTGGCATAGGTATCCATGGGAAGCAAGTTGGAAGTCCAAAGCTGGAAGTATTCAGAACAAGCAAGGATACGACACTAAAAGTGTGAAAGGGAATAACACAATGTTTAATGGATCTTTCTGTGTGCAAACCTGAGTTGATCATATTCTTCAGTCTGGATGAGGCCTATTTTAGTCTGCTTGGGCTGCCATAACAGAGTACAATAAAGTGGATGGCTTAAACAACAGAAATTTATTTTCTCACAGTTCTAGAGATTGAAAGTCCTAGAACCCTATGCCAGCATGATTGGTTTTAGGTGAAGACTCCCTTCTTGGCTTGCCGACAGCTGCCTTTTTCTGTGTCCTCACATGGTGAGAAAGAATGACGGCAAGCTCTTTGGTGTCTCTTCTTAAAAGGACACTAATCCTACCTACCATGAGGGTCCCACTCTCCTCACCTCATCGAACCCTAATTACCTTCTAAAGGCCCCATTTCCAAAAACTGTCAAAATAGAGCTTAGGGCTTCAACACATGAATTTTTGGAGGACACAAACATTCAGTCCATATCTAGGTCTATCTTGTGTTTGTTGTATTATAGCTCCTTCTCTCCCTCCAATCCTGCTCCTTTCCTTCCCTACAGACACAGAGTCTAGGAGAGTTAATATGTATCCTTCCAATTAACCTTCTACATACTCAGTTACATACTTGTTTGGTGTGTATGATGTAGCCTTATAAATTACATTAATGTATGAGAGAGTTCATTAAATTTTTACTTTTTCTGCACTCAAAAATTATATTTTTGAGACTTATCCATATGGTTATATGTAAATCTAGCTTATTGCTTCTGACTACTGCATCAGTTATATGCATAAGCAATATTTTATTTTTAATCTATTCCCTTAGTGATGAACAAATTCAACCTTTTAAAAGATAATGTTCTCTTAATCCCTAAAGATTTTGTGAACTTTGATATCCAAAATGGTGTTATAGTCCATAATGTTATAGTACAAGGAATAATGGTGTTAGTCCTTAATGTTTGAAATTCCATCTGATTGTTCCCAGGTTGTTGTAATTGAAATGTCTGGCATTCAAAATTTCCTTGTTTCTTTACAGGTAGTACTGGCAGTGTGCAGGGGACTAGGAGGTCAAAAAAAGCTAGCATTCTGCCCAGAATATTCTAAAATAGTTTTGAATTATGGTTTCATTTGCCCACTTGATATACTTGTATTTTCTTGCTTAATTTCAGGGGCACTAAGTCATCTAACTGGAATAATAATCAGACTGATTACTCTGGTCTCAGTGATTCCCAGTTCCTTTTTGGATCCCAGTTCTGTCCAGAAAGTTCAGAGACCCCGTCAACACCCTTGGACTTTGGTGTCCACTTGAGACATTCAAAACACTCACAACAGAATCCTCTGGATGTAAGTCTGAATCCCAGAATCTCTGCACATGTTTCACAGTCATGGACATAAACTGTAAATAAGACTTATTCTGCTGGGTTATATTTTAGAGTTGTACATCTCTAAGGATTACTGTCCTAAATAGATTTGTGCTTGATTGGTGACTCATTTGACTTGGTAGTGTGAAATGGAAAACATATTTATATTTGCATTTTCTTCCATTACTAAAACAATACATTAGAATAGTACAAGTACTTTGACTACTCCTAGGGAGTGCGAAATATTGCATGACATTTAACTCCTTGAAGAAGGAGATGAGGATATTGAGGCCTAAGATGATGAATAAGGGCCAGAATGAGGAACAGAATCTCTTGATTTTTTGAGACCAGCCTATCTTATTTTGTGAGTCAGAAATATTTTTATATATCTACTTATTTTGATGTAGAACCAGATTTAACTTTATACACAGATGTAACTGCATCATATAGGGGCTTAATGAATAAGATTAGGTCAATACTTTAAGTTATTAAGGTATGATCTGAGATAAATATTTTAGTACAAAAATTGGTACTCAGTGATATGAAGGAGAAAATGTACTGCCTGAATGTTCCAGAGTAAGTTTTGCCTCAGAATGCAGGAAATGGCTCATCATATGCCTGCATCACAGTCAAATTTATCAACAAGTTTAGTTCATCAGCAACTGAGCAACAGCAATTTGAATTAAACTTATTAATATAAAAACGTTAACACATCATCTCAAGACAGCATAATTTTCTGTTGCTGCCTTTAAATTTATGCAATTGATTTTAAGCCATTTTAGCTGACATTTTAAATACCTCTGGTCTGGTAAGGCAGAAATTATATTAGTAAAAAGAGTTGCTTGTTTTAATATAATTTTCTGGTACATATGAAATAAAAAGGAAATACTACATGCTATATTGTATTTTATGGTTTGCACTTAAGTGTGACTCTGCCTTTGTATAGAAAATAGTGCATGCTATAAATATTTTTATGTGTGAAATGCTATTTTTTTTTTTCCATTGAACAGAGTGAACCTAGTATTTTCATAAAGTACCAAACAAAACCCCAGCTGTTTGGAAGAGATACAAAAGATGGAGGCTTATTTCCTCTTCCTTTGTCAGTTGGAAAATCAAAAGGCCTCTTGGAACAGTTTGAGGAGAAAAAGAAAACTGCAAAAGACAAATGTGACAGGTACACAAACCTTTCAAAGTGGATGAGACAGCTCCTCTCTTCTGAGCGAAACAGAAAATGGAATGTCAGTAGTCGAAAAATTCAGTTTCAGCATGATAGCATTCTTTACAGCTCATCTAATAATTACTCTTTATTTGCTTTCTTGTCACTGTGACTTATGGCTGCCACAGTTTTGGGCTCTCTAAATATTAAGCTAAAGAACTTCTCAGAGAAATGCAATATTCAAGTAATTTTATATTTATTCTGCCTAAAATTCTGCCCTTTAATTTTTTTTTTCAGATCATCAGAATTAGGAAATTAGTTAATATTTGTTTTAGGGTCAAGAATATAGCACATGAATTCTTAAGTCATAGTTCAGGCTGATTTTCTCACTTTGAAATGGTATTTTTAAAGATATACCCTAGGGCTTCCCTGGTGGTGCAGTGGTTGAGAGTCCGCCTGCCGATGCAGGGGACACGGGTTCATGCCCTGGTCCAGGAAGATCCCACATGCCGCAGAGCGGCTGGGCCCGTGAGCCATGGCCGCTGAGCCTGCGCGTCCGGAGGCTGTGCTCTGCAACGGGAGAGGCCACAACAGTGAGAGGCCCGCATACCGCAAAAAAAAAAAAAAAAAAATACCCTAAATTTTATACATATTCTTATTCGCTACATATATATGTGTGTGTGTATATATAAGCAAATATTAGGGCTACTATATTAATTTGTAAATGAATAAGTGGCAGTCACTGAGGAAATTAACTTGTTCATTTCTTAGTAGTAAGTTATTAACAGGACATCTTTAGGTATCATAGAAATCATAACACCAAAGCAGAAATATACTTTATTATTTCTGTAACAGTAAAGATGTATCACTTAGCATCACCACTAGTACTTTCATGTCGAAAGAGCCAGAATTTCTTTAAAAATTCTAGATTAGGAATTCTTTAAAATTAGGAATTCTTTAAAAGACTAGGTATCTTTTCCACTGTATACTTACATTCCTTTAGTGAGAAAAGCAAAATGCTCTATACGAAGTGTTTGATTCTGCTGATAAATAAACATTTCCCAGATGCTGACAGACTTCTTTCCCCTAGGAATCTAGGCTCTAGGACTCATAACGATGGTAGAGTACTGCAGATAATCAGGCTCCTCTCATCTTACTGCTTCAGATAAATTAGGCTTAATTTTTTTGTTCTCTGGGCTTTTGTATTACATTTTATTTGATCAAGATTTCTGTAGCTAAGGCACTTCCCTGGTGGTCCAGTGGCTAAGACACCATGCTCCCAACGCAGGGGGCCCGGGTTTGAGCCATGGTAGGGGAACTAGATCCCACATGCCGCAACTAAAAAAAAAAAGATCCAGCATACCACAACTAAGACCCAGTGCAGCCAAACAAATAAATAAAGAAATAAGATTTCTGTAGCTAAAAAAACTTTTTTTGAAACATTAAGTCCTTCTTGATATTTCCTTCCTCCCTCCCTCTCTCCCTTCCTTCCTTTCTTTATTTCATTTTTCATTTCCTTCTTTTTTTTGTAGTAAAATGAGTTTCTTTTTTTTTTGGCCATGTGGCTTGTGGGATCTTACTTCCCAGACCAGGGATTGAACCCAGGCCCTCGGCAGTGAGAGCATGGAGTCCTAACCACTGGACCGCCAGGGAATTCCCAGAAATGAGTTTCTGTTAATGATTATTTACAAGATGGCTGGCAAAAAATAAATAGTATTTATATAGAGAGAACAGATGATAAGGACACTGAAGAATCTCTTCTCTATTTAAAAAATTTCAAGCTTACAATATTGATTTAAATGCTAAGCAGAAAATCATAATTTTAATAAATTCTGGCAAAAACAACCCCCAAGTTTTTAGATTCCTTGTTTTCTGTCAATAAGTGCTTATCAGAAATGTGGTGCAGAATGAGAAATTTTTAAATGAGAAAGAGAAAGCATACCACTGTAAATTTGGCAGCAGGAAAATGATAAGGCATGGTACAGAGTTCAAACATAAAGAGATGCTACAAATCAATAAGACATGGATTTATATATTGTGTTTTGAAAGTACATGTTTTCCCAAATGTATAGAAAGGGCATATGAGGTTAAGATATCTCAAAAGAAGCCTTAATCATTCAGATTGCATTTGTTATGACTCAAATAAAAACCCACCTCAAACTAGCCTGGACAAAAAGGAGGATATATTAGCTCTCTTAACCAATCTGGTAAGGACGGGGAATGAAATGAAAGCAAAATCTGTCTCTTTTCTGTGCTTCTCTCTCCATCTATACTTCATTCTCTCCTACTAGAGACCAGCTTCTTATTAACACAGAAAAAGAGACTCTCACCCCTTAGTTACAATTTGAAAATCCTAGTGAAAGCTTCTGATGGGCTTGTTTATTAGGTTGTGGGGGGGTGAGGGGAGGGGGCTGTGACTGGAAGTCCTCACCAGAATCACTTTGTGGATGCAGAAAGAAGCAATTCCCCATTAGAGCTGGATGCTGGGCACACCAGACAATGGATATCCATTACCCAGATCCTTATTTTTTAATCAGTCATATTTGAGAAAACAGATCAGTCTCATAACCAATGAATAACCTAAGGACCACAAATAGATTATAAAATGAACCATGGGGACTTCCCTGGTGGTGCAGTGGTTAAGAATCCGCCTGCCAATGCAGGGGACACGGGTTCGAGCCCTGGTCCGGGAAGATCCCACATGCCATGGAGCAACTAAGCCCATGCGCTGCAACTACTGAGCCTGCGCTCTAAAGCCCGCGAGTCACAACTACTGAGCCTGTGTGCCACAACTACTGAAGCTCACATGCCTAGAGTCCATGCTCCGCAACAAGAGAAGCCACTGCAATGAGAAACCCGTGCACCACAAGGAAGAGTAGCCCCCACTCACTGTAACTAGAGAAAGCCTGCACACAGCAACAAATACCCAACACAGCCAAAAATAAATAAATAAAAATAAATAATTTTTTTAAAAAAAAGAAAACATATGGATGGCAAATAAATACATGAAAAGTTTCTCAACACCATTAGCCATTTTGGAAATAAAACTTGAAATCATAATGAGATATTACTGCTTATCTGTTAGCATGGCTAAAATTAAAACAAACAAAAACTGAAAATACCAAGTGCCAAGCAAGGATATAGACCAAATGGAAATCTTGTTGGTGGAGATGCAAAATGATACAGCCCCTTTGGAAAAGTTTGACACTTTCTTATAAAATTAAACATAATTCACTATATGGCTCTGCAGTTCTACTCCTAGGTATTTATCCTAGATAAATGAAAATTTATGTTTACACAGAAGCCTATGCAACAACGTTTATAGTAGCCTTGCTCATAATCACCCCAAACTGGGCACAACCCAAATGTCCTTCTATGTATGAATGGATAAACAAACTATGGTATGTCCGTATGATGGAACACTACTCAGCAATGAAAAGGAATAAACTATTGCTATACAACAACATGGCTGAATCTCAAAAGCACTATGCTAAGCGAAAGAAATCACAAAGGTTGCATACTCTATGATTCCATTTAAATGACATTCTGAGAAAGGCAAAACTATAGGGATGGGTATCAGATCAGTGATTACCAAGGGTAATGGGTGTGGGCTGGGCTTTACCACAAACAGACAGAATAAAGGATTTATTTTGGATACTGTGTTATATCCTGGTTGTAATGGTGGTTACATGAATCCTAATTTTGTGTTAAAACTCATAGAACTGTGTACACACACACACACATACAAATTTCATATGTTAATTTAAATTTTTTAAAGTGTTAAAAGTTATTAAAAGATATTGGGTGGTTCATTTTATTAGTTAGGATTATGTTCAGGTGCATTGACGTATATACACTCATTCTCATTATAATAATAGAAATTTTTAAAAGACGTTTATTTTTCTTTAATGCAAAAATCATCCTGAAGTGTGTGGTCCAGGGCTAGAATGATGGCTTCATGGACCTCAAGGATCTGGCTCCTTCCAGCAGTGTGGTCTGCCATCCCTAAAGTATGACCCCCCCACCCCTGCCATCCTCACGCTGCTTGGAGGCTGCTGCAATTCCAGCTGTTACATCAGAGTTCCAGACAGCTGATGGATGAGCGAAGGAAGAAGGGTATCTTCCTGTCCCTTTAGGATTCTTTTTTTTTTTTCTTGGCCACACCATGTAGCTTGCAGGATCTCAGTTCCCTGACCAGGTATTGAACCCAGGCCCATGGCAGTGAAAGCACAGAGTCCTAACCACTGGACTGCCAGGGAATTCCCTAGGATTCTTCTTGGAAGTTGCATGCAACACTTTTGCTTATATCTCACAGTGGCTAAAATTTACTCACATGGCCACACCTAGATGCAAGGGAGTCTGGGAATGTCATCTATCTGGGTGGCAGTGCATGGAGGGTGAGGATCAGGAATCTAATTTCCAAGGAAGAAAATGAGGCCAATTTAAGTTTCTGCCACAGTTGTACAATTGCCAACAACTACCTGCCATGGACAACTTCCCAAACAAAGTCTCATAATTAGTCCAGGGCAGATTCTGCTGCCCACTATCCCCTGCCCAGAATGCACTAGACCCTCCCCTGCATTGTAGTCAGTGTAGTCCTGGTCCCTTTTCTTTCTTTCTTTTTTTTTTTTTGATGTGGTCCCTTTTTAAGATCTTTATTGAATTTGTTACAAAATCGCTCCTGTTTTGTTTTTGGGGGGGGGGGTTTGGATTGTTTTATTGTTTTTCGGCTGCGAGGCATGTGGAATCTTTTAGCTCCCCGAACAGGGATCGAACCTGCACCCCCTGCACTGGAAGGTGAAGTCTTAACCACTGGACCACTAGGGAAGTCCTGAGTCCTGGACAATTTTATCAGTCCCATGGCGCTCCATCTTTCTACTACTATTGCCATAGCGACCAGAAAAGAGAGCTCACAGTCTTTTTCTCCTGACTCCCAGTCTGGCAAGGCGTGTGTGAGGAGAGAGCTCAGCATTCAGGAAAAGCTCAGAAAGCAAGCCTCTGGCACCCTCAGCCTCAAG